TTCAATCTACAGTGACAGCAGAACCACTTTCCCACTCGACTGGTCACCTCTTCCAATCAAGTCTCCTAGTGGTCCGTTTCGATCCTTGTGAACCACTTTCCCACTCGACTGGTCACCCTTTCCAGTCAAGTCTCCTAGTGCTCCGGTTGGGTCGCAATCTATCTAAAAACCCTTAACAACGCCCCCCACTCGGGCACCCTACCGAAGTCACTGGTTTAAATTGCTAGATTGATCGAAACGATCAGTCTTGTAAAACAGTATGTGTATACTATTTAATTAATACAAAGGTTAACTAATTTGGTATCAAAGTCACTGTCTTTTTTCGTTTTATGGTTTTTGTTCCTATTTGTATTCTTTTTTGCTCGTGTTTTTGTCCCCCTAGTTGCCCCCCTTTACTCGGTTAGCTAAGCCTCGTTCGGAGAGCGTACCAGGAAGTTTTCTTGAGTTTTCTTAAAAAGCTATCACGGTACAACCGGAAGGTTTATACGTTCCCGCTGAACCGTACCACCGGTACTCTAGAATGGGCATGTAGCCCGGAGCTGTGTCAAGTGGGTTCGACTCCGTAGTCATGATGTCGTAAAAACACCCAGGAGCGCCATAAAAACACTATGTAACAGTCGCCTACTTTAGTCACATATGAGGCTTAAGAAAAATAGGCCCTATAACCATTGGCTCAAGAGTCAGGGACACTATCTCTTGTGTTTTTCCGCCTCAAGAACGGTCGGAGCCAATTCGGTTCGCTTGCGACATGAGACTAGAACCCGTTACAGCTTAAAGGCCACTACCAAAATACCCCCCCACTCTAGAAATAAAAACGTCCCCATACTTAGGTCTCGGAATACCCAAAATACATGAACGCCGTTAAAAACCGGGTCGGAACAATCCGCTTAGTTACTTTTTATTGGACAGTGGAACTTTGATCCATTTCAGATGGATCAACCTAAAACTCGCCTTATCTGAACATAACTATTATAAAATACACTCGAGAAATTTAAATTGAGAACTCACATGTCGATGCACTTGAGTATGAGGAGTAAGTAAAAGATGAGCAGCTTGAGAATTAGATGATATAACTAAATAAGTTTTAATGCTAATTAGTTTTAACAACAGAAGTAAGTTTTGTCTCCAGAATCAAAGTCTCTGTATGAACCTTTGGGACACTCGAGTTGTCCACTCTTCCATTCAGTGTTCACTCCTTTCCATTCGAATAGTCGTCTTTTCTCAAGTCTCTATTCTATTTTCCTGTTTTCAGGATAAGACAGCTCTACTCTCTTAATATTTCGTATCGGGAAATTGCGAATAGCAATTTCCTGCCTTTTTCTTGAGTAGTTTCCCGCAATTGTTAACTCGGTTGTTCTGATTTTTGACTTTTGCATTTTCAGTTGGTTCGAGAAAACTGAGCATGACAGGCTCCATTCGAAATTTCCAAAATTAAAATTTCACTCCAAAATCACGTGTTTCTCAAGGTCAAACCTCCAGACATGACCGACTGGCACAATCGAAGATGGATCAACCCTTTCCCCTCAACTCCTAGCTCCTCATCCTTATCAAAATGAAACTGAATATCAATTAAACTCAAGTCAGGACATGACAGGAAGCTAAAATTTTGTGTAACAGGATAAAAGTTTCAGTTCCTTTACCCTTCCGGATTGACGAATCCGCTGAATCAAGCTCGTTAATCTTGATTTCTTCCTAATCCGGAAGGCTGTCTTTCACCCTTCACCGTTGTTCGCAACGGCATTGCAACTATTGTAGTGGCACAATAGTTGCAACTCGGAGTGTTCTCTGTTACTCTGTAACTCGTTGTCGTTTTTCAATCTCGATTTTCGTAGTTATTGTCAGCGCAGCTAATGTTGTTCTGTTTTTCTTAGCTTTTCTGCCGAAATGGCCGTTTCTGACGTTTCTCAGAAATGTTACGTAATCACTTCGAAAATTTAAAATTTTGAATTCTCGAATCCCTCAACCTTCACGTTTTGTTCAATCGTTCAAATAACGTTCTTTACTCCCAATAATCACCAATCCGGAAGGCTCGCTGCTAAAAATTCGAATTCTGCAGAGATTGCATTTTTCACATTCTGGTCGAATGTCACACAGTAGCTTGTCACCTACCTGCCTGCATGAAATTTAGGGCAATTTTTACCCTACCCCACCCCCTACGGTCTTAGAAAAGCTTCACAACTCGGTACTTTTTTCACTTTTTGCCCATTTTTTGCCCATTGCGACTGGTTCCTAATTTGCTTAGGGGAAGAGCTATAGACTTAGGAAATTATTTTTTTGATTTTTTGCCTATTTTTTTGGAAATTATCGATTTCCTCAAAAACTACCTGTCCAGATTTGGAATTAAGAGTTTAATCGATATACCAGGTTGTAGGAAACTGCCCTACACAAACGGCTCGTCCCTAATTTGTCTAGGGGAAGAGCTATACACTTAGGAATAGTCAATTTTTCGGTTTTTAGGCCATTTTTTCAAACTTTTTCGATTTCTTCAAAAACTACCCATCCAGATTTGGGATTAAGGGTTCAATCGATAGACCAGGTTGTAGGAACCCCCCCCCCCCCTACACAAACGGCTCGTCCCTAATTTGTCTAGGGGAAGAGCTATACACTTAGGAATAGTCAATTTTTCGGTTTTTAGGTCATTTTTTCAAACTTTTTCGCTTTCTCTTTCACTTTTTTTGCGTAGGAAGGGCGCTATCGACTTGAGAAACCTGAAATTTTAAAACAATTTTAAAATAATCAATATTAAAGTAATCAAACAGTTCTCTCCAGCTTTCAGCTGGACCCCTAGTGATTAAATGTACGGCTTTGATATCTTTTTTCTTTTTCTTCTAAATTGTTCTGTAACTGTCGTTTCCTTTTGCCAAATTCGGTTTTTTAATGCAGATTTTCGAATAAAGCATGTATGGAGTTTTCCAAATTTGGGGTTTGATAATACAATGCACGGATGTTTTGTTTTAATTCGAATAACTTTTTAAATTTAGTGTTTGAAGGTCAGAAAGATCAAAGGCGAAAATACTGAAAAAAAGAGCAAAAAAGCCGACTGATTTCTAGCTGTTTAATTTTGCTTGAACTATTCATTCAATAATAGCCTCTTTTGTAATTTAGTTTTTAAAAAATTATCCGTGTAAGCGAACCCAGTATTGACTCTTGGCTATAGGCCTAAAATTTCACTGTTAATCTCTGTCATGACTAAATTGAATATCAATTAAACTCAAGTCAGGACATGACAGGAAGCTAAAATTTTGTGTAACAGGATAAAAGTTTCAGTTCCTTTACCCTTCCGGATTGACGAATCCGCTGAATCAAGCTCGTTAATCTTGATTTCTTCCTAATCCGGAAGGCTGTCTTTCACCCTTCACCGTTGTTCGCAACGGCATTGCAACTATTGTAGTGGCACAATAGTTGCAACTCGGAGTGTTCTCTGTTACTCTGTAACTCGTTGTCGTTTTTCAATCTCGATTTTCGTAGTTATTGTCAGCGCAGCTAATGTTGTTCTGTTTTTCTTAGCTTTTCTGCCGAAATGGCCGTTTCTGACGTTTCTCAGAAATGTTACGTAATCACTTCGAAAATTTAAAATTTTGAATTCTCGAATCCCTCAACCTTCACGTTTTGTTCAATCGTTCAAATAACGTTCTTTACTCCCAATAATCACCAATCCGGAAGGCTCGCTGCTAAAAATTCGAATTCTGCAGAGATTGCATTTTTCACATTCTGGTCGAATGTCACACAGTAGCTTGTCACCTACCTGCCTGCATGAAATTTAGGGCAATTTTTACCCTACCCCACCCCCTACGGTCTTAGAAAAGCTTCACAACTCGGTACTTTTTTCACTTTTTGCCCATTTTTTCGAAAATTTTCGATTTCCTCAAAAACTACCCGCCCAGATTTAGGATTAAGGGTTTAATCGATAGACCAGGTTGTAGGAAACTCCCATGCACAAGCGACTGGTTCCTAATTTGCTTAGGGGAAGAGCTATAGACTTAGGAAATTATTTTTTTGATTTTTTTGCCTATTTTTTTGGAAATTATCGATTTCCTCAAAAACTACCTGTCCAGATTTGGAATTAAGAGTTTAATCGATATACCAGGTTGTAGGAAACTGCCCTAATCAAACGGCTCGTCCCTAATTTGTCTAGGGGAAGAGCTATACACTTAGGAATAGTCAATTTTTCGGTTTTTAGGCCATTTTTTCAAACTTTTTCGATTTCTTCAAAAACTACCCATCCAGATTTGGGATTAAGGGTTCAATCGATAGACCAGGTTGTAGGAACCCCCCCCCCCTACACAAACGGCTCGTCCCTAATTTGTCTAGGGGAAGAGCTATACACTTAGGAATAGTCAATTTTTCGGTTTTTAGGTCATTTTTTCAAACTTTTTCGCTTTCTCTTTCACTTTTTTTGCGTAGGAAGGGCGCTATCGACTTGAGAAACCTGAAATTTTAAAACAATTTTAAAATAATCAATATTAAAGTAATCAAACAGTTCTCTCCAGCTTTCAGCTGGACCCCTAGTGATTAAATGTACGGCTTTGATATCTTTTTTCTTTTTCTTCTAAATTGTTCTGTAACTGTCGTTTCCTTTTGCCAAATTCGGTTTTTTAATGCAGATTTTCGAATAAAGCATGTATGGAGTTTTCCAAATTTGGGGTTTGATAATACAATGCACGGATGTTTTGTTTTAATTCGAATAACTTTTTAAATTTAGTGTTTGAAGGTCAGAAAGATCAAAGGCGAAAATACTGAAAAAAAGAGCAAAAAAGCCGACTGATTTCTAGCTGTTTAATTTTGCTTGAACTATTCATTCAATAATAGCCTCTTTTGTAATTTAGTTTTTAAAAAATTATCCGTGTAAGCGAACCCAGTATTGACTCTTGGCTATAGGCCTAAAATTTCACTGTTAATCTCTGTCATGACTAAATTGAACGAGTTACATTAGGTCCAGGTTGTTTTTCCCGTCGCTAGGTACTTTCATGACGAATGTTACCTTTTTATTTTTTTTTCAGATGGAGAAAACGCTTTAACCAAACCCGTTGATTCAATCTACAGTGGACTGTCAGGCACTAGAGAGAAAACCAAAAGGTCAGAATATGATACATCGAATTCAGCTGTTGGTACTCTATCAGGCGCCACAACGAGCAAGGAACAAATGAACAGTGATTCCCTTACATCGAAGATGGGAGAAACGAGTCTCCTTCCAAGTGGAATGACTGCTAATTCTAAAGGCGGTGGTTCACAAACTGCCTCTGTGGTTCAAACGAAGTCAAGAACTCGCGAGGAATGGGATAAGGAATCCGCATATAGTACAGAGTTGAAAAATGGATCATACAGTGGATCAATTAACGGTGATTCTAAAAATGGTCTTTCTCAAACTGGCTCCAATAGTAGAAATGCCGTAGACTCGAATCTTAAGACCAGCGTAATTGGGTCCAAATCCGGGAATAGTGAAGAACTGTATGATCAGTTTTCAGATGATCAGAACAAACTGAAAATGTCAGAAAAGCCTGAAGTGAAAGAGATATCAGTTGCCAGTGAAGAGAATGGGGATGGAACATATAGCCAGGCTTCACTGAGTCGCAATCCGTCGGCGAGTGTGATGAATTCTTTGATGGGCGGAGACAGCAATTCCATTTTAGGTACTGAAATGGATGCCAACAGGCATTTACCTTTTGCTCAAACACTTCGGAAATCAGTGAGTTCGGGAAATTTCTCCGGAAGTGCATCCAAGCACAAGTTGAATGTCAGCATGTCAACTGGAAATTTGGGGAAGCTATCTAGCAAAGGTTCCATGAATAGCATCCCGAAACAGAGTATGACGAGGGATCCCTCTTCTATCCGTCAACGGTCTGTTGAGTCTTTCATGACCGATGGAGCTTCATCTTTGAACCCTTCTCAACACACAAGCAAGTCATCTCAGTTGCAGCTCAGTAGAACGGAATCAAGTGCTGGCTCTGAGATATTTGATTGTGCTGTTACGGATGGGCCGATTGAAGAATGTCCTTGCGAAGAAATTGAGGGCATTGAGAAGTCGGCGGAGTCTTTGATGACAGACAAAGCCTCTTCTGTTAGTCGTGTTCAGCCGTCCAACAGTTCTTCGCAAATGCCACCGAATTCAATCGATATGCTTCCTAATTTGAATGGCAACGAAGTTTACGACTGTGGCAAGCCAGGATATACTGATCAAAAGTGTAACTGTGAAGATCCAGAGCAAAGCCTGTAAGTGTCCAATTTGCCTATCATCTCTATTTTTCTTATGATCTCAGCAGAGGGTGAAGTTTATAAACTTGTTTGTTAACTCTTGGGTAGGCCTTTTGTAGATCCAGTAACCGCTGCTCGGGGGCGTTCGGATGACTGCTTGCTTCTATAATGTTTGTTTGTTTGTTAGGGCAGCCAGTGGAAGGAGTGGGAACAGCGCCTCCAACCATGTTTACTCTGTGCTGCACAAATCAGGAGGGAAAAAAACGTCCAGCAACCCCCTCTCGAACTTGGTGAAACCATCTCCTAAAAATGAATCTTTCAACTCATCCCAACTCTCCTGCTCCAATGCCTCCTCTACCATCTTGTCCAATAAGTACAGCAATTACGGTCAACCTGTTTCAACATCTGGGGATAACAACTATCATTCGCAGTCGATGCAGGCAAGAAAGGTGAAGTGCCATTTCTGAGTTGTCAGTTGAAAGCATTGGTTGCGGCTCTATTTCAGTTCCTAATTCCTTCAAAATGTTAGATGAGTGGTAGTTTAACAAATTTAAGATACTCCAATTGGCATGCTAGAAAAGCAGTTCACTCATTTCTGCATTTAGATGTATACGTAAATGAAATAGCTTTGATATTTTAAGGGAGAAAGGTTGCAAAAGAGGTCAGATGTTTTATTTAAATGTATATTGCACTGTTCAAAAATTGATTTGATGAAATGGAGAAGATTGTGAGCAGCAATGCCACTGGCAACTGTCATAATGTAACACATTGGAATGTCACTTCACTGCTTAAATTTGCAGAGTGATAAGCAGAAGAAAGACAAGTCAGTCTGCTCTACTGAGGAGGGCGAAGCGAAGAGTGAGATGAGAGAGTGTGCAGTCTGTGTATGTCAGGGAGAAGGAGAAGGAGAGGAGGGAGAGGGAAGCGAGACACTGAAAGTGACTAGAGAGACTATTCTGAGCATCACTCAGATGCTGCACAGCTCATCCAGAAGACACCCTGTACATGTCAGGTAACACATACTCCTTTCCTTATCCAGCCTCCACCTTCATAAGGTTAGTCAGGGCCCTCTGCAGCATCTCTCGTGTCTCGCGAAGTTAACTTTGGAAACTTATTTATAACATCCGGTGCATATTTTGTATCCAGGTTGGTATTTTGTTGTGAATTCCCGTCCTACGCTTGATTTCAGATAATTTTTCTCAGAAATTGTTAATTACCAAATAAAATGAAAAAATTACTTCAAATAGCAAAACAACAACTGAAGCATGAAACCTAGATAGCACCGGGAGTGAAAGAGAGCACCACATGGGAAATCTATCTGATAAAAAGGCCGTATGTTGGCAATGGCAAGATAAGAAAATCGCGGAAAGTGAGATACATGGTGACATAGAATTAGAGGATCATAAAAACTTCATCGAGAGAAGCTTGAGGGCGTAGAGTTCCGATGACACATGCTGCGTTAGACATCTGTATGCAAACTGATATTCTTTGTCTAAGGAAGGCAGATGCACGGGCTTCGTTGGTGGAATCTTGAATCAGCTTGCCGAGCTTAGAAAGAAAACGTTTGGTGTCTGGTCCTGCGCCTCCTTGTACTTCGAATGCGACAGGCTGAAACAATTAGCCTCTGTTGATGATTTCGGTGTATTTCATTCTTTTCGTCTCTTCTGCTGTAGTCGCTGCTTTCAGGGGCTCGAATGAGTCAATTCTACTGCTGCACAATGCGTCCACGACCGTGGCATCCCATACCATTGGTTGGCCTCTGGACCAAGGTGTAGACGTAAGCCCATCTGGCCTTTTCCGATCTGCGCGGCAAAGTCCAAGGGGTTCTAATACCGAGTGTATGTTGGCGCTGGCAAGACCCCTCTTCACTATGTCATTCAACAACGAGTGGCGAGTATGACGGCCGGCGCTCATTTTGGACGCCAAACCATGGTGGCCGTCTTCAGAGACTTCTTTACCGCATCGGCATTGGTGGGGTTCGCACACTTTGCCGCCCAAACGCAGTGCCACACTGATGCGGAGTTGGATATCTGTGAGTTTCAAGCCCAAGTTGGATGATGGCAGAGCTTGCAGCCAGCTTCCCGCCATCTTTCCAGAGTAAGCTTCTAATCTATTGTGGTCTGTCTTTGAGCAGTTGACAAGCATCGAGGTTTTTTAGGTTCTCGAATACTGGCCAAGTCCAGTTCTTTTGAGTGCTTCTATTAGTTGGTGGAAGTGCTTGTGCAGTATCACCCCAGAGTTCCAGAACAGTTTCTTCGTCGCCTGTTGGTCCAGTACAAGTGGAGATATGGTCTGACAAAGCAGCGCAAGAGCTCGCGGAGGATAGAAAACAGGAAGTCGCAAGCAATGACGCAGATGGCAGACCCAGGCCACCCATTTTAACAGGCAGGCAGGCTTGGATGCGAGAGGAATCTGTAAGTTGAACATTGGTGATTTTTTCTAGTGTTGAGGTCAGAATGGAATCATAGTTGGAGAGTTTGTCGGGGTGCATGAAGCACGGTGACGTGCGGAGCAGAGTGTCAGTTTCGGTATACTGAACGAGTTTTTCAAAAGAAAAAGCGCCGAGTGTGCCTCGATTTCGACCAAAGATCTTAAAACGTTTGGTCAGTTTGTCAAGGACACAGTCAGCCCCCATGCCTGCACCAAGGATGCATAGGTCGTCCAATGGAGTCTCTTGTATAGCAGGGCAGATCGTGTTGAATAGTTGCAGTATTTCGAGTTTGAGCTCTTCACTCGATGAACCTAGAAAAGTTAGCTCACATTTCGAAGGCTTAACTTTCAGGCCAAGCATACGAGCGCGCTCTATAACCAGTTTCAAGTCCTCGAAAACTACCCGGAACTTATCAACAAGATTCCCATCGTCCAGATACCAGAAGTTAAGAGCAGAAGTCAGCGAATGAATCATGTCGTTAATAGTGTCACAGAACATGGGCGGCCCCTCCGGGTCTCCTTTTTGAGCTCCTTCATCTGAGTTCGAATATGAGATCCAAAGAACAGAAAGGAGGGTTGGCTATAGGCTGAGAACGCAAAATTTTTTAGGCGAGGGTACTTTTCGCTAATGTTCTCCAGCATGTGTTGCCTTGAGATTGAGTTGAAAGCATTTTCGAAATCAATTTTGACTAGAACGTGTTCATCGCTGATGCCTGGAGAAGATAGGAATTTGCGGGTGGCATGGACTGCCGCCTCACATCCATTTTTGGTGCCGAAGCCCAGTTGAGTAGATCCATATGAACATTTTCTTTGTTCTAATAGTTCGTGATCTTTGCCCGCACATTTCGCTGCCAATATGCGAAGTGTGTTGCCGACTGCTATGGGCCGAACGCCGGAGGAAGGTTTTTGAGTGCGAACAAGTTTGCCCCGAAAAAGAAAGGTCTGATATCAATCGGTACACCACCGCTCAAGATGATATTTGTGAGCCCGGTCAGGTCTTCGCTCAGTTTGTTTGATGTTTCCTTACACATTCCAATCATGTCTTTGATAATTTGAGGCTCCAATTTATCAGGCCCACCGGCTGAGCCGTTCGGGAAAGAATTTATACAAGAGTGAACCGTAGAACCCACAGTAGTGATACATTCTTGTTCTTTGTTTCCCTGAACAGCATAGGCGAACTTGTGCCGGGGGTGTTTTTCTTCCATCTCATTTACAATTTCGGGTGTAATTTCAGGCATCGTGTCATTCCGCGAAGCTATCCGTATGGCACCTCGGATATTGCCATCATCAATTTTCTCTTGGACCCTTCTCCTGAGACTCTCTGTTTCCTTTTTCGGCTTCGCCTTTTTTTTCGGCTGCTCCGGAATCTCAGCTGTGTCGGAAAAAGATCTTATAGCTGAGTTGACTGAACTGGTGAGGTTTATTCGGTGTTTTTCCCCCTCCTCTGTCAGTCGCCTTCAGACAGTGGGCGGGGATACTCATAAGCTTCAGCCAATTGGAAACTTCGTCAGGGTGTTTTGAGATATCGTTGATAACTTCGCTAAAGAGACAGGCTAAGTTGACTCTTGCTCCTTTCGGGACAAGTTTGAGTATGGGACTCTGGCAGAGAACAGCTTGCGGAGATAGGTAGAAGCCTCGGAATCAGGAGGGACGTTCTCTATACTGAGATCTCCCATTAGTTGAGAAAGGCCACTAGACTGGTGCTCGGGCGCGCTACCAGTAAGAGTCAAGTCCTGTGGAGGGATATCATCAGCCAAGACAACTGAATCCGGTAGGCAGCGGTTGCAGATCAAGACTGGCTTCCAGTGTTTAGAACTCGGTAGGGGAGTGTGCTTGAGGTGAACAAAGCCGCATATGCTACACCAGACTCCTCCGCCCCGTAGATGCTTTGAACACACGCTGCAGTGAGTCTGCTCTACTTCATCTTCAGTGACCGTGGGTTGCTGTTGCTGCATTTCGCGTAGGTGTCACATTCACATATCTATTTAATAAGTTTATCACAACAATTAGGCTAAAAGTTCAGGTTCGCTGACTGGAAGAACTCGCAGCTGATGCAATTACTTTCAGCTAGTACCTGGGTGCATTTCTGGTTCATTTTTTGTTTCCTACCTCTTTCTTTATTTTTGTCTTCTTCCCCGGAAGCTCTCACCGCTCTCGGGTGTAAGCCTCCTTCTTTAGCTCGATACACTTTTTGTTGCCGAATTCTTTTCTGAGCATGTAAGTTCAACTTCTGTCTGGGTTACTGGTTTGTTGGACCATCGCAGCTCTGCTCCCACTTTGTTAAATGCTCTGTCCGTTCCTTCACTATTCTCCTCCAGTCTTTCCTGTCCATCGCTTGCCTATGCACCTCTTTCCAATCCAAGCTTTCCTGTAAAACCACGTTTTCTTTTTTCCTTTCCATTTTGGAAGTGACTCTAGCTGCTCCAACCACCCAAGAACGGCTATTTTGGTAGGTCTATTGTCAGGCATTCGGAGGACGTGCCCAATTCTTTCCACTAATCCTTTTTCATTTTTCCATTACTCCGCTTTGTTTAGTTTTCTTTTTTTCGTCAGGATATCCGTTAGTTTGCTCCCTGGGAGCCATTTCCATTTTACTCTTACCGACTTTTTAGATCTTTCAAACGGTTTTAGATCTTTCAAACGGTCTGATTTAACACAGTGTGTTTTTTTCTCATGAAGATCCATGAGGTTTGATAGAAAGCTTCCTTCCATACCACATTCGCGATTTTTTTTCCATGAGGCCGGTTTGTTAACACTTTGGTAGGCGAGTTACTACCGATCAACAGCTAGATCAGGTGGCTTCGCAGATGCAGGATCTGATGACAATGATCGGCAAGTTGGTTAATTCAGGAATTCCCTCTCCAGATAATGAAAACCTGCGGGGGAGGACCCAACACAAGCCTAGGCAGCCGACTGGTCTGAACTCAGCTGGGAATCGACAGGGCAACGCGAGCATTGGAGGGGGCATCTAGGCTGTTTCGAATGCGGTCAGATGGGCACTTTGCGAAAGAGTGTCTGAGAAAGGCTTCGGTTCATTTAAACTAGCGAGGGCCGGGACAATGAGCGAGTTCAAAGGAGTCTTTGTCCCGACCGACTTACAGAGACAACAGGCACCGAAGGGCGATCAGCCGGCGTACGGTTCGTAAAGCCAGAGTCACAGTGAGTGGCTGAACCGAGATGCAGATGGAGACAGAAATACACCGTGGAAACAGGAACAAGTTTGTCGATTTGGGAACGAAGACCTCGGGGCACAGGGGTCTCTCTCGGGCGGGAAACGAGGGAGCAACCTCAAGCACGTGTCAAGCGAATGGAATTATACGGACCCCGTGGGGGCAGTCCTAGATGATTGCATAGGGACAACCCAAGTCGAGATCTTGCTAGATGTAGCTCGAGATCTATTTGACTCGGCTGAGATTGAGCCATACCGGGAAGACCAGAGACAGCAGACGGATAAGAAATGAAGGCGGATGGATGTATCACCGCCTGTCTGAAAATGGGGACCGTTGAAAAAGATCTAGAAATGCTAGTTGTTCTGAAACTGAAAGCAGAGATGGATTTTGGACTTCGATCGCTGAAGGAAAA